AGTATAATAATACAGCTTTACATTTTCTTCTATTGGCAGTCATGAGGCATTATAATGTTGATTATAATACTTCATAAGTTCCAATGAAGCTCTCATGTATAATGCACTATAGATACCTTCATAATGAATATTAATGGTTGGTATAAGACTTAAGGATAATTTGTACCTCATTATGAAGGTATCTATAGTGCAATACAGATGAGAGCTTCATAAGGCATTCATAATGCAACAATTTTATTACGATTGTTGATTGTTTCATTTTTTATTTTGTACACTTATTTGGAAGTATAATACGACTTCAGTGTTTCTGCCAGGATATTCCGTAACTTCCTTACAGAAGGATAGCAAGTTTGAAGTAAGGCTGCTACAGACTTTATGCCTAATACTGTTGTTTTTAGAACAAATCATTCCACAGTGTATGTGTGTGTGCGTTTAAAGGTGCCACAGAAATAAGTACTCCAGCAGTCCCTTTCCTATTCACATTAATCAAGGATGGCTTCCCGAGAATTATCATAATTATTCTTCTACCTTGTGTGATGGACAAAGTAAAAAATAAGTGACCCTACACACAAAAACATGCACAGATCACATACATGTGACGCACATAAGCAGACAGGGAGACCTGTCAGGTATCTGTTACCAGACACAAAGTCAGGCAGATTTAAAAGTTGAAATCAATCAAAAGCTGCATGTAGCCTCAGTCGTGTTTCAATCAGACTTGAATGGCTTCCTCACTTTCTCCAGATAGAAACTGTATTGCAAGTTTGATTTAAGATCTAACACACACTAATGATACTGAGAGGAAGCCACATTCAAATCTCTTTAATCGCCTTTCACTCGCTAATTTCAGCTGTAAGCCACATCTCCAGCAGTGATCATAAGAACAGGGCTGTCAGGCAGTTTTCCATCCGGGTCCCACCTGATTCCCACCTTCTTCAAGGTCAAGAGCATAATGTGTGCCCATCAAGGGTCTAAATTAGCTCACACCCCATTAACATGCCGCAGTTGGGCTCTCCAGCAGGTCCAACACTCAGCACCTCTCTCAGCCACATGGGAACAGCCCTCTTAGGCTCACCTGATCTTCCTGGGGCACCTGGGAGGAGGGCTCAGGCAAACATTTTCTCCATAGATTGTATATTCATCACTGAGAGTGGCTTCATACTCTCCTTGCTTCAAAGTTGAACAGATGGGTGACATCACGGTGGGTGGGGGTTCACTGCCACACTCTCCACAGCAGCAAGGAGCCACACAGTACTGGTATAACCCCTAGTGCTGATAGTTGGCATATACCGTCTTTTTGATTGTGACCTGATAATAAAGGCAGTACCCCTACCCCCAACCATTCGAGTCTCCCTTGCCCAGTAAGAACCACTGGAACCACCATTATCATGCCTTACCTGCCATTATGCATGAGATCTACTGCATCGGGGTGATTGGGGTGATTTCATAGTAATCATGTATTATGTAACGCTGGCTGTCCTGTTTTACTGTCATTTAAAAGGACATTTGGCTGCATAAGTGGACCCACTCAGGCACACAAAAATACATTTATCATGGTGTTTTTTTTTCATTTTAGGACAGAGTAATAAATGAAAAACCCTACATTTGAATGGCTTAATTAGATCCCTCGGGTGTACTGACACATCCTCTTTTTTAATATAATCTATCATTTTTATAGTGATATCTACACAATTATTAATGTGAGGAGCAACATGATATAACAAAGAAAAATTAACAAAAAATGTACCAAACCTGAGTGGAAAATTGGATGATATTTGATTAAATGACTCATAGGTGTCAGACAATGTTAGTTTTTCTGCCAGAAACAGTGGAATAATCTGGTGTTTGTTGATAAGGTTTATGTGATTCTGTGTTGTGTGTAGTTTCCAAAATAGGAACGTTAAGTTCAGCTATCCCTATAAATACTCATTTGCTTAACCTCTTTGCTCTTATCCCTCATCTCCTCTATCCCTCACACTCCCTTTTTCTTGAAGCCTCTAACTAAACCAAAGTTAGCACATGTGGAATCCACATTCTGAGGTCTGCATCTGAAGTTTGACAAGACTAACCCTCCCCCAACCCACCGCCCCCCACCAGAGAAGGGGAGTGTCTTTGTTTTTCCTGGGCTGGGTGACTATCATCCCTGAGGTTCCTCAGACAGCAGAGACCCCATTGTCTGTGAAGGAGGCATCAGCAGTAGCCTGGGGCATATGGTGGAGTGAGTTTGGGGGGGGGGGGGTGACATCGCGCCTGACATGATTGTGATGTGTACAAGGGGCCTGGTACATCTCACGCCACCCTCAGACTGCAGTGAGGCAGTGTCATGTTCAGAGAGAACAGTACTGGATAGTCATCTGAGAAATACATACATGCATATATACGCTCAAAAACACAAATACACTTCTCCGCTTGGGCAGCAGGCATTGCTGGTCATCCCGTCCCTCCTGTTGTCAGTCTTAGTGTTTTCCCCTGCTCGCTGTCATTCGCATAGCTCAACTTGTTGAGCATGAGGTTGCCTGTGAACCCCTCTGTCTTCTGTTCGAATCCTGCCTCCTCTGTTTTTGTATTTTGTTCCCTAGTGTTTCATTTGTATGAGTTTTCTTGTTCCTGTGTCTTGTGCTTTGTATTTGGTTTTGGTTTCATGTTTTGTGCCCTGTGCTTGTGTTTTTACCTATCTGTTATTTCCCTCGTGTAGATTCTGTTTCTTATGCCTTGTCCACACGTACACGGGTATATTTTAAAATGGTGTTTTTCCTCCTCCGTTTAAAAAAAAATCCCCGTCCACACAAACATTGTCTTCTAAAATATTTCCGTCCACATGAAACCGCTAAAATGCGCTGTCAAAAGCATGCCAAAACAACAGGCGGCATTATAAGCGTACTGCCATGTTAGCCAATCAGAAGCCTAACCTGTTAAGTCCTGTTAAGTTGAAAACCACGGCGCACATTCTGACACCTGTGTTGATCAATATAATGCAAGTGACTCAACATTTATCTGTACACATGTAAGTCCTGTCACCAAGGTTAGCACAAGCACTATTTCGGCTAAGTCTGCCATTGCTCAAACTCGCCTAATGTATACAGCAAACAGCGCGCGCTCTGACGTTAAACGAAGTGGACAACGGCGCACAATCTGACGTTTCGAGCCAAAAACTCTGTTTTCCCTGTCTACATGTCGACGCTGATTGAGTCTAATTATTAGTTTCAGCTGTTGCCTGTTTTTGTGCCTGCCCTTCTGTGTTCACCTGATTGCTCATTGCTCTGCCCTCTCCCGGATTTGTTAATTGTCTGTTTCACTCCTGTTGCGTCGTTACCCGGTTTAGTTTTTGTATTTAAGTTCCTTATCCTGTTCAGTGGCCTGTACTACGAAGTGGGGCTACGGCTAGTAACCCCACTTCGTAGTACAGGCCATTGGAGTCATTGATGTTTCTTTAATGTATGTTTGTTAGATTTATGATGTATGTTCTGCCTGCCTGCCCGCCCCTTGTTTGCCCTGACCCAATTGTAATTAGTCTTTGTTTATTCCAATTTACTTTTGACCCCTTGTTGTCCTTTTGGTTTTTTTGTAGTTTCCCAGTGTTTTGTGTTTTTGTTAAATAAACCCCTTCTGTCCCGTGAGCCACAAGTGGGTCGTCCATCCTCTGTTCCCCGCCTGCACGATGCTACGTCCGGCGTGTGCCCGAGCCGACCCATTTCGTGACAACAACTGACAGACACTGATATCATCCTGAGACCCAAGGAAAAAAGTGTCCTTCAATTGTAGGTTATTTGTCTTTGGAGGAAATAAGACATCTTACAATTTAGATTTTTTCAAATTTATTCTTATTTTAATTTCACAGCATGTCCTCTTTAGTGCACAACAAGAATAAATACGTTTCCCAACATCAGTGAAAAAATAAATTCAAAAATTCGATGTCCACTACAATGGACATAAATGAATAGGTCGGGTCTCAGGAGGATATGCGAAGCAGATGATAAACTGACAGAATATCAGAACCACGGGTAGCATAAGCAACATGAAGTTTGTTTTTATGTCGTACATCGTGATTTTTTTTTTTTATTAATCCAAACGCATTGGCTTATATTACAAAGCCAGCAGATGCTTAAAAGCATATACGTATAAGGGCCTGTGTTTTAATCATAAGCAAGCAAAGAAATCAATCTCGTCTGGCCTGTCAGAAGAGCTGAATATTCATTTCACCACCTAATTTTACTACATTTATTCTGATTCGCTCCCGATAGCCTCATCAGTCAGAAATCTGAGTCTACTCCATAAGTTAACGATATGAATGTTTCATTTACTGTTCAATTATAAACTATTAATATCGGCATGGATGAATTAACCTCAGTCCAGGTTTTTATTAATCTTTCCTGTGTATATGGGTTTTGCGTATTTATTGCTGGAAACTTTTCCCATCTGACAGGCCAGGTGCCCATGCCCCCCCTTGACGCCGGGCCTGAATGGACACTGTGCTGGAGGTCATGTACACAGGCTAATGTAAGCATATCCCCGTGTGCACGCCAAACCTCGCTTAAAAAGGAGTTCAATTAATCCTCAATTTAACGAGTAACAGAGAAAACGCACTTTTATTATTAGCAGGATTTGTCCTGAACGCCTATTCTAGGAATTTCCATATCAATAGGCAGGTAAAGAGCTTTCATATTCATGCCTCACCAGAGAGACAAGGCTATCACCCTTCCGTCATTTTCTGTTTTTACCCGAGTGCTCTCAATTCAGATCAATTTTGCCCAATTAAACTATTTTGCATGCGGTGAAGTGCGTTTTATTGCAGCCTTACAGTCCATCCTCTCTCAACGAGGCTGCACGAGAACTTCCAAAATGAAACCCTTTGTTTTTCTTTGTAACGTGATTAGGTCTGAATCCCCCCCATTTTGGTAATTTAACTGGAAGTGTTATTTATTCGACTCGCCATCCCCATCGTTTCTCAACCCTTCGTCTTCGTCATCTTCCCCTCACGGTTTGCTTTTTCTGACACTCACTGTCCGGGCTCCTTAAGGTGGACGATTCTTGTCATGTTAAGTCGCATCCTTCGTACTCATACAATCTGAAAGGCCACCCTGAATAACTATTCCGTTATAACTGCTTCGTAATAATTAATGTCTTTGTTATGTGTCACATACACCAGTTGGTATCTTTTTTCAATACGGCATCGTTTGAACTGATTAGCACCAACTGTCAGAGTGAACCCAAGCTGTAGTACACAAGCCGGGTATTTAATACTGTAAGGCTGCACAAGAAAGGATGATGCATTTGGCCGATGCTTTTAAAATGATTTGTATTCATTGCTTAAAAGCACTGGGGTAGCTCCTACGAGAGCAAAAATGCAAGGTATAAACAAATAAATTAATAACACGATACATATATTTCCCCGCAAAATGTGATCAAATATAATGAGTTCAAAACTGACCTTGAAGCTGTCTGGGTGGGATTCAAAGGCTCTGAGCCACTGTTGTTACAGCAAAAATTAATATGAAACATTTTTTTCTGGCTAAGTTTCACAATTCTGACCTACTGTACAGTAAATTACTTACATTTCCACCAGACTGCATCTATGGGACCGCAGAGAGGCTAATTCGCTTTAAAACAAATCCAGTAATTAGTATTTAAAAATAACTTTCATTATTAATTTACATTTGAAATAATTCTAACGGGAAACTGAAACACATGAAATACAATTGTTTAACTTAAAATCAGTTATGGTCATCCGCGTATTCATTCACTATTAATAGACATGGTATAATTGAACAGTTGCGTGGGAGTAATTAGAATCTTTTTGAACAGGTCTGCTTTCTACACTCCTAACGTTAACCGAGACGCGACCACGTCACTGAAAACAATGCGTAGTCATTACAGTGATATGTGTTGAGCTTCTTTGACACAGCAAATCAAATAGTAGGCTATATATGTTTAGCATTAAGCAGGAATCGTAGCGATCAGTCCGTGTACCGTGTCCAGCAGCTGCGGTGTAAATGGCTGCGTCAACCCACTAGATAAATGGTCTGATTATGTGCGGTTGAAAAGCCTAGTCGTTATTCTACTAAGATGGCTTTAATTAGGTTTCCCCTAAATTAATCACTGCCCCCTTTCCCCCTCATTCATCTATACTGTCCCTACTGACTTTCGGACTGCTCTCACAACAATAGATCCGCTACAATTAATGTCAATTTAAGGTAATACAAAAGCAGGAAAAACGAGACCACAAGAAACAGCTGCACGGAGGGACACGGAATGCCATTTATTAGCATGCGAAAAGGAAGCAAGCTCACTAACATAAAGGCTGGTTAGTCAGATGGGTGGAAATAAATGATTTAATTGTTGCTCTTTACAACCTGACTGTGACTTTTAGTCACATAATAGACATGGTAACCAGGTAAAGGCTGCCACAGAACAGTTACTGGGTATTGAAGCTGGTTAAAATTAGTTTTAACTTTAGACTGACTTCAGATAAACCGTATCAGCAGTACCAGCAGACAGGGTTTTAGCTATAGGGTTTGAAAAATAGTGAGGTCTGGGTGGAGTGGGGTGGTTGGTTTGAGTTTACTCCAAATTCAGTACAATTCACTACAAAATATCCAACATGTTGTGATGATGTCATTCAGCACCGGTAACAGTTTTTACGCCACTGGAAAACCAACACAATAAATGACTTTTCAAGTACCGGAAGTCAGGTGCATGATACAGTGGAGAACTGCTCTGTGTACTCATTTCAGAGGAAACGTTCTTAGTAGGAATGCACCGATCCGATACCTATATCAGATATCGGTCCAACAATGGCTGAAATAGGTGGATCGGATACCGGTAGCACTGGACCGATCTATTTGATTAAATTATAAAGTGTTTCTGTATTCGTACACTTGCGGAAGCTACGTCAAGCGCGCGCAGTTAAACCAGCACGTTTTGTTAAGAAAAGGTACAAGAACAGCGCTAACAGTGTGGAGGGAGCTAACAACAAAATGTCATCTATGTGGAGGTATTTCACGCTTGCTACGCCAACAAGTTCCAATTTTTTTTGCAATATCTGCAAAATCAATATGTTTCGCGGGGAGGCAACAGCACTGCAAAGTATAATACGACCAACTTAATAAAGCTCCTCCAGAAGCGTCATGCCAAACAGTTTGAGGAGTTGAACAAAACAAAAAACAGGGGATTGTTCGAAGCAGTGGCCTGTACTACGAAGTGGGGTTACTGGCTTATCGGAGTAACTTGTCGGATTTAAGGTTGTCTGGGAAAATGTAAGTGAGCGAATACTTAGTCCATTTAAACTGTGAATGGTACCTTAAATCCGACAAGTTACCCCGATAAGCCAGTAAGCCTGCTACGTAGTACAGGCCACAGGTAACTACAGGCAGCATTGCAAAGACGCGCGAAACTCCCCAGCAATAGTGTTAAAGCGACAAAAATAACAGAAAAGGTACTCGAATTCATTGTTCTGGATGAGCTACCCCTCGCAGTTGTAGTAAATGAGAGATTCCACCGCCCGATTGAACACTTTGAACCATGGTACAGTTTGCCATCACGGAAATATTTTTCTGAGACCGCTCTACCTGAGCTGTACAAAAAAGTATGCGAACACGTATCAGAAATGATAATACAGTGGTACCTCAGTTTTCGAACTCGTTAGAACTCGAATTTCTTAAAAGTCGAACCAGACAGAACTACCTGGAACTCGATCTGAATCTCAGAAGTCAAACCGTGAACGCCGACCTAAGATAACTTGTAGACGCGGGGAAATTAGTCACGCAGCACGTCTCTCAGCAGAAACAAATGGTAACGCTTCAGTCTCAACCTTGCATTCGCTGTGATATAGCATCGTGCATGTTTACACTAGCCGAATACATATATTTAGACAGTAAAAATACATTTAGACAATGATAGTAACAGTAATTATTATTATATAATAAAATACATTTAAAAATAAAGATTTCTTATTCATTATTTTATTATTAATAATAAACCATTAATACACTTAATTATAATAATATTGTAGTGCCAAGCGGGGACGGAATGGAGACAAAGGCGCAGACGTCAGGGTATCGGGGAATTCCGGGTTTAATTACAGGTAAGGCAGGCAAAACGCAGACAGACAATACAATGACCGAACTGGGGAAACAAACTGAAACACGGACTAAATACAGAGGACTAATGACAACAGCCAGAAACAGCTGATCACGGGGACTCCACACGGGGTTAATGAGGGGGCGTGGCACGCGGAAGGAGCGGACGATCGGGGCAGGACACATTGTTTTTTAAAACTTTACACATTGTTTGGATACATTTATTTTCTTACTTTACAAATAACTGTTTTGATAAATGTGCTTAGATGTGTTTAGTACAGTATATGCTCTTCTTGTTTTATCCTGTTCATTTTGTGTTTAAATGCTTAAAAAAAACATATTTAGGTGTAATTTTTTGGGGCCAAGAACCAATGAATTGGTTTTCCATTATTTCTTATGGGGAAAATTCGATCAGAACTCGAACTTTTTAGGATTCGATCCGGAGTTGTGAATGGATTAAATTCGAGTTCTGAGGTACCACTGTAGATGTAACAACGATTAGCTTCACTACTGATATTTGGAGCTCTGACGTGTGCCCATTATCGGTTTTGAGTTTTACTGCACACTTGTTGGACGCCAGATGCGAGCCTCAAAGTGTGGTGTTTTCATTTAATACGTACCCTTGTATTGTTTTATACTTCAATTTTGATTCCTGAAGATTGCTGCACCTAAAAATATACTTATAACATTACTTACATAGGAATTGGAATTTATGTTACTTTACTGTTACCAGGTTGTTAGTATGTTAATAGTAAATAATTAAGCTGACATTTGTGTGTGCGTATTTTTTACATTGTCTTCCAAAATTAGGTATTTAGGCCAAGTATTTAAGCCTGATGTCTCCTTAAATATAATCTCCATTTCCTCTCGAAAGTGTGACATATGTCTTATTAATTAATCACCGGTATCGGATCGGCCAATACCCAAAACCCAGGTATTGTTATTGGAACTGAAAAAGCTGGATCGGTGCATCCCTAGTTCTTAGCCATTAATTTTTTATCCAGTTGTTTTTAGCTTCGAATTTTATATATATATTTTTCCAACTCTAAAAACATAACCAAGGTCCTGACCAAGGTGACCTCATAGCTGGCTACGAGTATGCCATAGGACTGGGTCCAAGTTTATACAAATAAATACATGCCCGGTTGTGGTAGTTGTATTGTGCTAGAAATGAAATATGCATATAAGAAAGTAGTTTTGTCTTTAACACACCCAAGCATGAATTCAAAGAACAATGCACCACAAAATGGATACCTCTCCCTCAAACAGAATTCTGCAAAGCCTCTTATCATGTCCAGCCAACCTTACAGTTACTAGAGGATTATGGGTGAGGTATTTATCCCCTGTGTAACATGCCACTGACATTGCCTCCATATAATTTGCATAGACATGCTGCATCATTTAAAACATATATTTATAAAACTAAATTTATAGACCTTAAGCATAAATCTATTGGCTGTGAAGTGGTCAAACGAATGCTACACTGATTTTTCTCCTCTCTTTGCCAGATGACTTAAAATTCTGTTGCCTACCTGACATACAAACAAGGAAAGTAGACTCTGTATCCTACAATAATGTACTAATGTGTTGTTTTTTAAGGATTCTTGTTTGCAGGAGCAGTCCTTGGCACTGAGAATGCCTCCAAGGTCACCTGGAGGAATGAGCATGCTCTCGGCTGTCACTGTGCTAACAGTAAACACAGGCCTGTTTGCAAGGACACCTGTGACCAGACTAGGTACAGGTAACTACTGACATCAGGCCTGAGGTTTTTTTTGGAGGGGCAGGTGCACAAAGGCTAAAAAAGGGGCACTCAGTACCTTTAAATGTCATAAGAACATAAGAAATTTACAAACGAGAGGAGGCCATTCGGCCCATCAAGCTCATTTGGGGAGAACTTAACTAATAGCTCAGAGTTGTTAAAATCTTATCCAGCTCTGATTTAAAGGAACCCAGGGTTTTAGCTTGCGCTACACTAGCAGGAAGACTATTCCATACTGTAACTACATGCTGTGTGAAGAAGTGCTTCCTCTAATTCGTTTTAAAATGTTCTCCCACTAATTTCCACTCATGGCCACGA